CACTAAATGTTTCTTCTTGATCGCGAGTTCTCCATATTTCTCCTCCTCTTGACGTAATCTGTTTAGCACAGGGACGTGGTATGTGCTGTCAGGCCCAAACAAGCTCCAGAAGAATTTTCACGGCCGCTTCTTAGCGTTTGTGTTGGCGTACAAGTGTCAGCGTGTGGGTGTTTGTTGTGCGCGCTCATGCTGCGTCTGTCTGAGCGCGCATGGTTTATGACCTGAACGTTTTCTAGTTTTCGGGCCATACTCCCCCTGCTGCTGGGCCCCTGAATGTCCCGGGGTGAAACTGAGAGGAGGGGGCATTACCAAATCTCTGTGTGTCTGCATGTGTGATAGATACGCAGGAACAAGCCCAGATTAGAACACTGTTTCTGGGGAGGGTTTGGAAGGCAGAGTCCCAGCAGCCACTGACTTGACATAGCGGTTGGCAGCAATAGCAGGGGGTTTGATGGGTTTTCCTCTTCCTTTTGGCTGGGCTGTTAATGCAGCTGGGAGGGGGGTTATGGATCTCAAGATACCAGTGTGTGTCATGAACTGTCAGTCTAAAAGCTACATGCCCTTATTGCTCATATATAACCCTGTATTATGCCAGGAAGACCTCTTAAGCCCATGATAATTTGGTCTGTATATAATTAATAATATAATAATAATTAATCTCCACTAGCTTTAACACAACAACACCTGTGAGAAGAAAAGTCAGAATTTACCCATCTGCTAAAAATTAGTCTTTTTTTTTTTTTTCAAGGATAGTGGATCAGAATGTACCCATTCCTGATGAGAGATTCCACTGTCTCTAGTAGGGTTGGGTATCGATTGGGTTTTTTACGATACCGGTTGTAACAACGTTCGTAGGTCGGGAAGAAGGAGGCGGGAACCGGTAAACATTCAAACAAAACTTTAATAATAAAATAGACACAAAATAGCGCAACAGCCCCTCACAGACGAGTGCCGCGCACAAACAGAACCAAAACACAAAATAAAATCCAGGCCTGGTCCTCTCACGTCCAACACTGTCGTCACTTTATCTTTATCATCATCTTTATCTTTCCGGAGCTCCTCCGTGGGACTCGAGACCGGTGAGTGGCCCCCCCGGCAACTCATTCCAGCCCACCGCCTCGAGCGTCCATGGCGGTAGACTGTTCCGCCATGCTCGATGACACCGCGGATTCAACACGCAAGGGATCTCTGGCAGCGTGTCCCTCCTTCCTCCCTGGTTTTGGCACCAATGTAACAACGTTCGTAGGTCGGGAAGAAGGAGGCGGGAACCGTCGGCCCCGCCCCTCTCATCACACCGGTGCCAAATCAATACTTTTAAAACAGTACCGGTACCTAAACGGTGCCTGAACCGATACTTTAAAAAAAAAAAGAGCCACAATAAAAACGATGGATAACATTAAAGAACATTACAAATTTTTTCAATAAATATACATAGCACTCACATGCTCCTCGGATGCTCTCATTTCCCGAGTTGTGCTTCCCTTACTCTAAGGCTAATAAATGTATTTCACAGTCTGGGTCATTTGCAGATTGAAGAGTGCGCTGAAAGACGGGGAGGATACGAAGTCTGCCGCCGTTTTCATTTGAAATTTAAAGGGGACTGACTCTGAGGTGATCACGAATTTGTGTACAGTCCCGCTAAAAATGGCCTAGCGACGCCCATGCTTCTTACGTCCATTTCGGAGAACCAGGACAAATATTTAAATCGATCGCTCAGGCATTTAAGTGGCACCGAAATGAGGCACCGAAATCTGCGCTCTGATTCGGTTCTAGTATATACCGGTTACATAGGTGCATAGGTACCCAACCCTAGTCTCTAGCTCTATTTGGATGACTTTTTCCCCCTGATCTTCCTTCTAGACAATGGAGCACATGTGTTTTTCTGTTTGTTTTTTTGTGTGTTTTCTGTATGGAATGAAATACTCCCAATTGTTCTGAACAGAACAAAAATGCCATAAAAGCACCATTCCTAAGCTATAGTTCAAGTTTTGATGTGATGCATAGCTATGTGTGAGGAACAGACCTGAAATTTAAATTGATAATCTATTAATATATCAATATATATTTTTTCTTTTTCTGATTAGTTGATTAATCGAATGTCCCCTCCCCCTTGATTAATCTTTCAAGAATGTTCTTATTAATCTTTTAATTGACTTACCAATAAATAATTGTAATTTATGTCATTAATCTTTAATGTTTTTTTTACATTTTCTCAAATACAAATAAATATAGATTTAATCAGTTTAAATAATTAAATAAATTATTTTATACAATAGATAATTATATAATAGAATCCAATTGAGGCACAAGTCCATTTTTCATACTGTTATGCCTGAATTAAATTTTGGCTGTTAAAGCAATTTTTTTTTTTATTATTATTATTAATGTTGTAGTTCTAATTTGTTTTGGCAAAATAAAATTGTAATATATTTGACATTTATCTATCAGTTTGTTGGCTACCCAATCACGTGAGAATTCATAAGAGAATTCTTTTTTTTTTTTTTTTTTTATGACCGAAAACGTACAATTTGTAATTAAAACATCACCATGAAGGTCCACTCCCAACCCTACCCCAAAATCTTACCTTTTTTGGGGCAGCAGATCTTACAAAAATGTATTCGTCAGATCAGACCAAATCATATGTAATTGCAACGAATTTGTCAAACCATAAGATACTTATGAATCGTCAAGAGACGATTATAACATGGTTATAACATGAAAACAATTATTGGCCAGAATTAGAATTTCGGTGCAGTTGTTGTGTGTTGCATGTAAATCAGACATGTTCCGAATATGTTGGAAGGCGATTTCATAATGGAATGAAAGGACTCTCAGCATTCTTAGCGTTGCTGCAGGGGGCGCTATAGCAGGCATTGGCATAAACAGTCATCATCTTTTCAGTTTTCTCTCTCAGGTCAACTACTGTCATGACTGAGCAAGAGTTTGAAGAGACGCACGTAAAAAAGTTGATAGCTAGATACCTGACTTTTGACACTGACTCTATC